TGAACAATGTACAGTTTATGGGGGACAAATCCACCTGTTAACTTACTTAGCTTGACCTCAAATACCCTTGCCTGCAATGGACTTTTTTAGACATAATATTAAAACGTGCCCTTTATGTGCACAAACTTTGAGTTTATGTGCTCCTTATTCTTCCTTAGGCTTCATTGGAAAGAGACCGCTTTCACATCCACTTTTAAACTAACCAGAGTTCCCTGCTACATGTGAACTCAAATGATGTAAACAGGGGTAGGAATCACACAGCCTCCAAAGGCCGTTGGACTGCAAGTCCCAGCAGCCCTAGAAAATAAAGTCAATCATGCTAGGAGTTGCAGTCCAACAAGATTTGGACCATTGCATGATCTTTGTCCCCAGTTTAAACTAAACCATAATTTAGATGTGTCCAGAGGAGGGTGACCAAAATGGTGAAAGGTGTAGAAACAATGCCCTACAAGGAATGGCTTAAGGAGCAGGGTATATTTAGCCTGGAGAAGAGTCAAGACTTGACATGATAACTGTGTTTAAATATTTGAAGGGATTCACACTGAGGATGGAGCAAGCTTCCCTTCCCCTGTTGTTCCAGAGACCAACACAGACTCAGACCAACGGATACAAACTACAGGAACAGAGATTTCACCTAAATATTAGGAAGAACTTCCTGACAGTAAGAGCTTTTCAACAGTGGAGCACATTGTGTGGCAGAGTCTTCTTCTTTGGAGGTTTGTAAACAGAGGCTGGACGGCCATCTGTCAGGGATGCTTTGATTGTGTATTCCTGCATGGCAGGGGGTTGGACTGGATGGCCTTTGAGATCTCTTCCAACTCTATGATTCTGTGATCACCTGATCTTGGCTTTATTAAATTAACCAGAATTCTCAAAAGTTCAAATGTAAGAAGGAACTTCTTGTTAGCTTAAAAGTGGAAACAAAGGCTTCCTATACAACTCTTAGGTCTGCACCAGGGCAAGAGCAGAAAGAGGAAATGAAAAGCCTGAAAGCTCATACAGACTTAGGAACACGCAGCAAACCATCATATGCTGTTACATTTGAAGTTCCTATATAATACAGTTCAGTGTTCATTACTACTGTTTTTAGGCCTCAGGTTGAACATATTTTTAGGTTTTCCCAAACATGCAGCAGAATAGCATCCAATGAGCCATAGTGAGGACTGACAACAGGAGGGAAGACAGTGCAGTCAGCCTTCTGACAATTAGCAGGACATCTAAACCTGACTAACTTCTGCAATATGGGATGGACATTGTTTGCAATTTCATATGGTTCATTGTTGTTAACTGCCCTCAAATCAACTTTGACCTCTGGCAACTCTATGAATGAAGCATCTTCAAGACGCCCTGTCCTCAATAGACCTGCTCAGTTCCTGCAAGACTTAGGGCCATGTCCTCTTTGATTCAGTTTATCCATCTACTGTGTGGTCTTCCTCTCTTCCTACTGCCCTCCATCTTTCCAAGCATTATCATCTTTTCTAGTTAGTCATGTCTTCTCATGATGTGGTCAAAGTATGATAGCCTCAATTTAATCATCTTGGCTTCTAGGAAAGTTCAGATCCAATTTGCTCTTGTATCCAATTGTTTGTCTTTTTAGATAGCTACAGCAGGGGTAGGCAACCTTTCCCCTTTATTGGCCAACATGGGACTATTGGCCAACATGGCTGAGGCTTCTGGGAGCTGAAGTCCCTCGGCCCTTAAAGGGGAAAGGTTGCCTACCCCTGAGCTACAGTATCTGCAGAACTCTTCTCCAGCACCACATTTCAAATGAGTTAATTTTCTTTGTATCAGCTTTTTTCACCATCCAGCTCTTGCACTTTTTTTTTTTTTTTTACTTTTCTTAGTAATTGTTCCAAGTCATTATTTTCTGCTAGTATTATGGTGTCATCTGCATATCTCAGGTTGTTGATATTCCTTCCTCCAATCTTCATTTCTCCCTCCTCTGAAAGTAAACCTGCTTTTTGTGTGATATTTGTATAAGCTGAACAAATAGGGTGATAAGATGCATCCTTGTCTAACTCCTTTCCAACTGGAAACTACTCTGTTTCTCTGTATTCTGTTCTAACTGTAGTCTCTTATCCTGGTATATTTTTCATTTATCAGGTATTTCACTTGGGAAAAATGTATATGTGCAACAACCCTAGCTTTGTCTAGAACAGTCATCAGTAACCTATAAATTAAAACCAATTACCCCAGGATCATCCACCCTGGATGCTTTTTTGCAATACTTTTTATTTCAAGCTAACATAATTTTAAACTTATTTTCCATCCCAAGGCTGTTCTTGATTACAGAGTCAACAAAAGATATTACAGAACAAACTATTTTCCCAGTTTTATTTCAAGTATAGTGGACCCTTGATGTCTGCTGGAGTTTGGTTCCAAGATACCATGGATACCAAATGTGTGGATGCTCAAGTCCCATTACATACAACAGGGGTAGGCAACCTAATGCCCGGGGGCTGGATGCGGCCCCCCGAGACCCAGGCAGGTCCTGCCGTCGCTGCCACCTCCCGCCATCTGCCATGATGATATTGATTATTGTTGTTATTACTTGTTCTTGCGGTTTTCTTGGCAAAATCTCCACAGGGGTTTTGCCATGGCTTTTCTGGGGCTGAGAGAGTGTGCATGAATATGTTTTTTTAAAAAATATTTATTTATTTATTTATTTATTTATTTATTTATTTATTTTTGGTGCTTTGGCCCCCCAATTGTCTGAGGGACAGCAACCTGGCCCCTGGCTCAAAAACGTTGCCTACCCCTGATATACAATGACATAGTAAAATTATGTACCTTATAAAAATGGCAAAATCAATGTTTGCCTTTTGGATTTTAAAAAAAAAGTGGTCTTTTTTTCAAGCAGTAGACAGTTGAATCCATGGACCCAGAATCCATGGATGCGGAGGGCCAACTGTACTCAATGGCATTCAGACACAAGAAAATGGCATCTACTAAAAATGTACATTGACAGGTACATCCTTATAGCTGGTGGTTTTCACATTCATTTAATGAATAGAATGCTTCCTGAGCCTGGAACCAATTCCTCTGCAGTAGATTCCGTTCAGCATCCATCCTCCTTTCTTTTTCCACCCTTCACAGCACTTCTCTGTCTGTGAACTTATGTGTGCATCATTGTTGAGAAGACACACTGCTTTTCCTTTGTAAAAGTTTGGCAAAAACTCATTGTTACTTTCACCCGTAGAGTTCAGCACTCTTCATAGTTGTACACTGTGTTTGCTATAGATGGGCAAAATAAGAATGCAGTTGTGGCTTTTTTGTTTTCTGCTTTGCTAGACTGAAGCAAACTTGGAGAAGAGCTATCTGAATTTTTGAGAAACATCAAATGAACCACTAGGGAATGGGAACAGAGGGAAGCCCCATAGAGAGTTAGTCAATTAGAACACAAAGGTGACACCATCAGAACAGAACAGCCCCTTAAGAATAAAAGCAGAGTTGTTATTTTGTTCTCAGAGCCATCAAATACATGCCCAGCTGTCTTTACCCCATGCATGTTTTCTTTGCAAAGTATTAAACAGACATAGAAAACAGAGACCAAATGGAAGGGGTCATGGGCCAGGGCTAACCTCAAGACAGTGGGATAAAATCCATTCAGCATGCAGTCTAAAGACTAGGGGTCTTGCAGAGCCCAAGAATCTATTCAAAACTAGCGCCAGAACTGCATGCACCAAAAAAAGTTGTGCCTTCAGCAGAAGATGACACAGATAAAAGCATTGTAGCAAAGTCTCAGGATACATTTGTGTGCAGAAAGTCCCAGGTTTGTTCCCCTGTTAAGGTTGGGGGGATGTCTGGAACTCTGAGAAGCCACTACAAGTCAGTGTAGACCTGGGTGAACTTTTGGCCATCAGACATTTTGGACCAACTTATAGAAGTCTCCGTTAAAACATCCGGAGGAACAAACTAAAGTTTCCTACCCCAGGGCAAATTGGACTGAAGGTATAAGCTCAAGTAGGTTGGCTTCTGAAATGGGCTGGCAAAAGATAAGCTATAAAATGTCTTTTAAAATGTTTGTAGTTGTTGTGTGCCTTCAAGTCATTTCCAACTTATGGCGACCCTAAGGTGACACAGTGGCTCAAGTGGTTAAGACTCTGACTCTGTTGACTGCAAGACTGGCAGGTTGGCAGTTTGAGGCCTGGATGGGGCATGATGGCGTGAGCTCCTGTCACTAGTCCCAGCTTTGCCAACCTAGCAGTTTGAAAACATGCAAATGCAAGTAAATAAATAGGTACCACTTTGTTGGGAAGGTAAACAGCATTCTATGCAACCATGCTGGCCACATGATCACAGAGTAGTCTCTGACAACGTTGGCTCTTCAGCTTAGTAACGGAGATGAACACCACCCCCTATGGTCGGACACAACTTGACAACCTTGTCAACAGGGTATACCTTTAAGGTGACCCTATCATGGGGTTTGTTTGGCAAGATTTGTTAAGAGGAAATTTGACATTTCCTTCCCCTGAGGGTGAGAGCCTGTGACTTGCCCAAGATCACCCAGTGGGTTTGATGGCCAAGCTGAGAATTGAACCGTGGTCTCTAGAGTCATAGTCCAACACTCAAACTACTATGCCATGCTGGCTCTTCCTTTTTACCATTCAAGATTTAATAACTCAGAGCAGGGGTAGGCAACCTTTCCCCTTTAAGGGTCGAGGGACTT